TTCATGCAGTAGATTAACTCTTCATATAAGATAATTTATTTCAAGATCACTGGATACCTTGAGGTAAGGGGAGCTGTTTTTTCAGTGTAGGTATGTATTTAGTAACTCACCAATCCTGGAGTATCTACGAACCGTGGAAAATTTATTAATACTTCTTCCATCGGTAGCTTTCTCCTCTGCGAAAATGTTTCAGCCATTGTATTTCTTATATTTTGGTAGTCCACTTTAAGATTCGCATTTTTTAGTTCTTGTATAATTTAATTCAAGCCATCTCCTTTTTCTAAAGTATCCTTAATATTTACATTTGAGTCTTTTTTTTTTTGGCGCTTCACACCTAAATCCTTGCCTTTCTCTGACTTACATAGTCGTCTTTTTTCAGCATTTTTGCTTGACAACGTTTTTAACCTTCATGCAAGGAAATCATCATGTTTGAGAGGGTTGAAAAATGTTTCCTAAAATATTAATTAGATTACAATTTAACAAATACAGGAGTCCGATTTAAGTGATACCACTATCGATATCTCTTGAATAGTTGCAGGTTTTGATGTTGATTAAAGGTAATTTAATGCAATTTGCTAATAGTTTGATGAATTGTATTATTGGCTTTCCATATGAACAGACATTTCTACGAAAGCTTTCAAGATCCAAACATGTTTTATAAAATCAAAGAATCGCTAGGCTAGATTATATTTTGTATTATCAAATTTTCTTACGTTTTGGCAGTATTTATTAAATAATAAAAGTTTTTAAGCCATATTTACCTGAAAATCCCTCACTTATGACCATACTAGTGTCAACTCATAAACGTACACAAGCCCACGCATTACATAAATTAAGTAAATTTCCAGAGGAGGTCACCCCGGACTATTAAAAACAGACCTATTTTGCTTATGCCAGCAATAATTTCAATATAAATTCACGCACTGCGGCAATGCAAGGCAAGGTTGGTCTGGACTGCTTTATGCCTGATAAGGTACGAGCCTAAAGACCTGCCTTCTTAGCTGGGTACGACTAGGTATAGTCGAGACTGTGAAACTTTTGGATGAAGGTCTCGTCTATACCGGCCGTGTCACAGCGTCCCCAAGTTTAGACCTACGAGAACTATGCTCTTAGGGGGCCCGTTCTTTTAGTGCATCATGGGTTTCATTAAACATTAAACATTCTTACATTTCGAGTTGACAATCGAAAACATGGTTCACCAGGGACGAACATCTGCGGTGTTAGGATTTTGGTAAATCTTCTTGAACTATAAGGTGTAATTAAGGTTTAGTAATGAAACAAATATAATATTCGTGGTGGTATTCCTTCCCCCCATATCCTCTCTTTTCAGATAAACCCTTAGTGGACGCAGCCAAGCGAAGTAAAAGTGGTGGCACCGCTGACCACAACCAACTTAAGCGTGACACTAGTTTTATGGAAGGTCTACTTCGAGTCAGGCAAACATACCTATTTCATTATGTTTTTTAATTATCTTTTCTAAAAAGGAAAAGGGTTTACTGAAGCTTAAAACATATTTACGGATAAAATTATGAAAATGGCTTAACACGTTAAGCGCCATGGCGGTCAGTGGTGACCGATCGGTGTAGTTCCTGTTAGGCCACGGCGTTCACCAATGACCGACTATCGCTGCCAGATTTTCAAAGCTCTCTAGGCCAGATGCCCGATAGTATGTTAAATTATATAGAACAGCGTGCCCGCTGTGGCCCATACGGAACTTCTTCATAAGTCAGGCTTTTAATTTTCGTGGCCCTGTGGGAAACAGACGAAAAATAAAATGTTGCCCCTTTATTTTACATTTTCTGGCTCAGTAGAGCTGACAGAATCATCAAAATAATAAGAATAATCACTTGCAATATATTTTGGATCATTCAGGGAGTCTGAACCGAACCAAATGGTTTTGAATCGGAGTATTCTTGAGCTCTGTTCCAACCGACATAAAAACCATTCTAGAACGGTAATTTCCAGTCGATCAATTCATTTTTCAAATAGGATAAACATTCAACTCATCAAAAAATAAGTGTGCAACTGGAAATTACTGGTTTTGGCACGGTTCTCATGTCGGTTGGAACAGGGCTTTGGTCTTGCTCACTCGGTATAAACTGTTTTGCCATTCGAATAATACATTTGGTTAGTTCACTCGCATATTTTTCAGGCATTGTAATAGAGCCACAAATCCCAATAAAAATACGCGTTTCACCTGAGAATGAACAAGTTGTCAGTTGAACTAAAAAGGCGGGAACTTGCGACCTAGCGCCATGCCACAAACACCTGCACAAACATGACCGCTATCGTGACCGATGACTAGAATTGCAATGAATCTTCCTATAGGGCCACGGCGGTCAATAGTGACCGCCTTAGATTTTTCTCCAAAAATATGCTAAATAATAAAAAAAAAACATATAAATATAGTTACTTGTACAAAATATAAGCGGAATAAAGTAAAATAACAAAATTGAAAATAATGGCCCCTTGGACAAGTTTAGCGATTTTGCTGTGGCGCTTAACGTGTTAAGTAAACATATACCCTGGAATTATAGATTTATTGGTGATGTTGTGTCTGAGGGTACATTCAAATATGCGGAAAAATTAAATAATATTACTAGTGGCTTACTTCAAAATCGTTTTATTGAAAAATGTTAACATCTTCCTCTGAAACATATCGATCTAAATCTGAATCCATATCCTTTTCATGTTTCTTGTCAATCGGAAGGTTATAATAAAGTTGCCGATCATCTTTTTCTAACATATTGACAATCTCGAGTAAGTTTTCTTTCTTTTTGGAACTTATTGGACGTAGACCTCTATATAAATAAGTTAGAGGAAGCTAGAGGGGTAAATTATTTAATTTTTGTCCCTTTTTTAAAAATATTACTTCCTGAAAAGGTTCTTTTTCGTTTAGGAAGCATTTTGAATTGACAGGAGCTTTCTGCTTTCTATACCTTAATTAACAAATTTCGCATAATTTAAATGAGCTTCTAAAGGTCTTTTTGATATAAGTTCCGAAAACCCAAAACAAATTTCTTGTTCCATAACTTCAACTCCAAAGTTATGTTTCTTGCTTGCCGTGCGGACGAGTTGATACCAATCTTTTGGAACATGTATGTCAAATTGCATTTTTTTAGTTCGCTTTATTACTGAGTGATCCACGTCGCATTCTAAATGGGTATGATGGGTATGACCTGGTACTGAGAAGTTATGGTCAATAACTTCCAAGCTAGGATGTTTTTTAATCGCGTATTGACACATTGAGCAAACAAAAGAATTTTTATTTTGTCTCCCACACGTGTCAGCGTAGAAAACTCGTGTTAATTCCATCAGAAACGTTTGACATAATATGACGAAAGAAGCGTAATGCTATTTCATTTGATCCTCGACCTGCAGTACAATATGGCCACATAAGATAATTTGATTCTCCTGAACTGCAATTATGGATAGTCAAATTATATGCGGCTAATTGCCTCGAATTAAAAAAAATATTACACGACAGGTGAGGTGTTTGCAGTACTTGTTGGAGATCAAAAGCATATGTTATATGAGTTAGATCTGCCAATCCCTTCTTTTTATCGTCATCTTTTGCTTGGTACGCAGCGTCTGCACATGCAATGTGCTCGCTTTATTCTTTGATTTTAACCGCATAATACCTTGCTACATTTGGAAAATATAAATAGAGATTCTTTAGTAACTCCGGACATTCCGATTCCAGTGTAGTTGCCCATGTACAGAGGAGCGGTTTTGCTATATCTAGTTCTCAAGTATTAAAATCGAACATAAAATTGATAGTAAAAAATGGTAGTAAGGAAATAAAGTGTAGGGTAGTTCTAGATAGTGGGTCTCGAAGTAATTTTATCTCCAAATCATGTAGTGAAAAACTTATTTTGAGATATGTTAAAATTAATCATGCCGTTAAGGGAATTAGACAGATGTTATCTATTATGAATCGCCAAGTAAATATCAAAATTATGGCACGAGTAAATTCTTTTGAACAAAATATAAACTCTTCAGTGATACAGAAAATTACAGATGGATTGCCTGTTTGTAGTTTCAATAAAGGTTTACTTTAAATACCAATAGAGTTCGAATTAGCCGATCTTGATTTTAACGTTTCGAAGGAAATTGATATATTATTGGGATCTGAAATATTTTGGAAGGCTATTTAATCAGGACGAATTTCATCAGGAAATAAACTTCCCACTTTACAGAATACTGCATTTGGATGGATAGTTGCAAGAAATATGCAAATAGGCTTTAATAACGTCAATATGTCGATAAATTGTTTTAAAAATGAAACTAATGAGTAACTGTACTAGTATTATGAAATGAAATGAATGGAATTAGAGGATGTTTTGAGTAAAAAAATTTTTTTATCGGAGACAGAAAGATATCGCGAAGAACTTTTTGACTCTACCACTATCAAAGACCACAAGGGTAGATATATTGTGGAAATTCCTTTCAAAAAATCTATTTCAAATTTAGAAAACTCTAAATCTAACGCACTCAATAGATTTTATATTAAATAGTATATTACATATCGAGGTGGGAAGTCTTTCATTCCTGTCGAGAAATTGGTTAGTTAACTGAGACGCGAAAGGTCAGCGAAATTCAATCATTATCGAATAAACATTCATTGGCATTTTGTCAAATCAGAGGAAAACCCTGCAGGTTTACTATCGAGAGACTTGAATATTTCATTATGGTGGCACGGTCCAGAATTTCTTCCAAATGACTATTCCTCTTGGAATCTTCAAGGATATCCTATCCCTAATGAAATTCATTAAGTATTTTGAGTTCACTGGCCACCAATTCTCCAAAAATGTCATCACTACTTTTTCCACTCTTATTTGATAGGAGTGAAGTGACCGCAGTTGACAGATTTTTAGATGAGTTATCAACATTCTTTTTTTCCATGGCCCTTTTTTTTGGAAGAGGCTTCAATGCTTTATCCAAATAATCGGGAGCTAATTTCGTATTACTTGATTAAACATTTTTAAGAAACCATTTACTTTCTTTGTTATTATCTTTTATAGATTCCAAAGCTTGTTCTTTCTCATCCTCTTTGTCTGAACTTCCTAAGTTATCAGCACCTTGAAAGCTCTTACTCGTTATGGAGACAGTATTACAGACAATTTGGGCTAGTTTGCATATTTCTGGTTAGTTTCGTAACAGTTCATTTATTACTGGTTATAAACTGTGCAATAAGTGTACTGGTGAATTTTTTTTTTGGATAACACATGGTTATTCAACAAACTTGGTCGAACTTAGAAAAAGGAAGTAAAGGGACGTGCTGCAATGAATGCTAAATTTAAAATCACATAATGTATTAAACATAAAAAATATTATCAATTATTATTAATTTATTCAAAAAATAACACAAAAACAAAAAACTAATTTATAGGCGGATACATTGTAGATACAGGTGCGAAAAAAGCATGTACTCTCTCATCTCTCTCAAAAAATTTCTTATATTGGTATTCTGCAAAATATCCTAGAAAATGTTTTGCGTCTATATTTCCGCGAACATTTCTCCACGTTTTTTCAATTTTTTGCGTGTTTAATGTAGGGTCGTTAGGATCGATAAAATGTAGGGAATGAATAATTTTTAAATGGTGAAAGCCCCCATTTCCCAAACAGTCGTATGCTTTCCAAAAGTCTGACATAATAGTATTTCCTGGTAAAATCCATTCTTTGATGAGTCCTAAAAGTGTTTCAGTATCCCTCTTTGGTACTGGTATCAGAAAGGTGTAATTTGTGCCCCTCTCTATGCTGCCAAATACCCATTGTCCTTGTACAACTTGCCCTTTATTATACTTTCTTTTTCCAAACTTGGCTTCATCAACGACTTTGACTTCGCCTCCAATTTTTTTCGAATGTTGTTGTGCCCAATTCAGGCACACTTCCTGACAGAAAGATGCCCAATCTACAGCGATTTTGCTACCGTATTTTAATTCTTTTGTGATGGAATATATCCAATCAAAATACCAACGAAACACTCCATTTCTCGGATCGTCACGGGTTTGTTATTTGTTTTTTTTTTTAATGAATTGGCTTCTACTAGGTGGAAATTCATGATCTAATGAAAAATTGCTGAGTAAATGTAATATACTTATATATTTCCACTAATTTAGGTTAATAAACTTTCACATGTTTCGCTAACACTGTAGCTTCATCAGATATTGTAAGAATTTCATGTTGGACATAAAAGTGAAATTGTCAAATATGAAAAAGGTAAAAGCTGGTCTAATTTTATGTTAATCTACATAGGTATTGTATAAATAAATTTAAAAGTGGTGAACTGTTCAAAAATCTAATTGGTCGTTCAGTGAACAGTCTAAATTTTTAAGTTTGATTATTTCTAGAGATTCGAGAAGATTTAATTTTATGCCTTTGTTTTCATTATGCAACAATTTAAATTCATTATTGAATTTATGATTCGATTCTATAAGGCGATTTGATTTGAGTCTATTAACAGACTCATGTTTGTTTTTTGTACTTCTAGTTAATATTATTAAATAACACGGCATCAATATCATCCTCGACAAAAATTTCCTCATTCCAAAAATCAGAGTTAAGTACACAAAAATTGTTCAAAATGCAACCTGCACTTGCAGATTCAACAGCCTTACAAATGTTGTATGTGTTAATGTACAATCTCCTCCATCTTCCTTTTAACTGCCCAAATGTATGTTCTATACTCACTCTTTCAGAAGATAGGCAGTAATTGTGATTTTTCTGTTTTCTGCTTGATTGGTTGTCCCTATGCAGATAATTATTGAAAAACTGTGTTATAATAGCTACTAGTTTTTATAGTGCTCATCACCTAAATGTAGTCATAAGTCATTTTCTTAGAAAAAAAGCACAATCTTCGATCAAATTTATTTGGCCCGAATCTCATGATATCTTTGTACAGTTGAGAATTTTCGAACACCTATAAAATTTTATATTTTTGTTTAGGTATTTTTTTGTTACAGCTCACTCAAGAATCATGAGCAGATCCTGGAAACCTAACAAAAACATATGTGTACAATCTATTTGCATTATATTTATTGAATGTCTTCTGTATCGCTCTATGTGACTACCTTGCTGCTTTTTTTCTACAATAACAAAAATATAGGTTCCGCCACTGCACCAATAACACCTACAAGAAAAAAACTCTTCAAATCAAATAGGTAATTATAGTAGATAATAGATACTAAAGCAATAGCATATCCGAAAACACCAATAAAGGCTTACATAGCACTAACGATTCCAAAAAATGTGTTGCTGCAATCGGTTATTAGGTAGGTACTTACCTGAATACTTTTTAAATCCTGCAGAAGTATATCGTGATTCTTCCTCTTAAGCAGGAAATTTTATATAGGTTTTCTTTGGTTTTAATGTAAAATATAGTTACCTATTTACTGACTACAAACCTTTTTCCAATTGAAAACAAACTTTCCTGAGTGGCCATGTAATATAGGAAAATTATTATTTGCAACTTGACTGCAATGGGGTAATGTCCACCAGTAGGTATATGTGTCCAATAAAACATGATTTGAGTCTGCCTTACATAACACACATTCAAATTTGTCCACAGTTGTTTTATCCATACGAAAAAAGTTGAAAAATGTTATGTTATCATACTCAATCAACCAGCTTTCATAGCAGATTTTGGGGTCAGTCAAGTTTGCCCCCGTGCCACCCCGATCTTGAAACGAACTATGTCATAATTTTGCACAATTTTACACAATTTTACACAACCCAAACCAAATTTTGCACACCCTCCTTCAAGAGACTACAGCCGATTTTCAGATGGAGGGCAAACTTGACGGTTTCCCCCTATCTCAACCAAACTTAAAAATTCTTTCACTGTTAGATTCTCCTAATTTTGCATACTTATTTTCAAATTTTGCACACCTTTGTAGAGAGAGTTATCGACCATCAAAAAATCAATATTGCCCCCCGACCTCAACCAACCTCAATAATTCTTTTACTGTTAGATTCTCCTAATTTTGCACACTAATTTTCAAATTTTGCACAATTTTGCACACCTTTGTTGAGAGAGTTATCGACCATCATAAAATTAATATTTGGCTAAATCTGGAAGGCATTGCTGATTTCCCCTGTCGACAATTTCCGGACCTTTATTAACTATTTCATAGCAATGAGAATAGATATTTTTGGCCCATAAATAAAAGGGATTTTCCTAATTTTCTTGGTTTCCTTTATAGTTTAAATTGTAGAAATGTAGTGCCTCACTATAATTAGGGGAATCATTACCACCCACAATGTCTTCAACACTTCCAGTGGCACATCTTTTTTTTAACCATTGTTTCAAAATTTCACATTGAGTCGGCTGTTCCATATAGTTTTGATCCTCCGTATCACTCAACGCTACAGTAAAAAATTGCTTTTAAAAAAGCTTCTATATCTTCAATATCCGAAGACTGGACAATCTGCCCAATAGCCCTCAAAAAGAACTGACGTGTTAGCCGATGCTGCTTTTTTAAACTAACCCACTGCGTTAAGCTTTATAAAATGAGCCACGTCGATTCTAATGTAACATTTTTCTTTGAATATGGTTTTTTGGAAATTGCGTTGCAACAATGTTTGATGAAATTTAAAAGTGTCTTTACCTTTGTTAAAGCCCAAAAAAAAGGCATAAATTAATGGTAAAGACATATCGGTAACACATTCCATGGGTATTGAAGCTCCACTACGAATAAAATGTGCTAACCAAGAATGAATAGCTACTGCATTTTGAGTTTCCGATAACATGCTTCCTACTGAGTATTGGTTGTTCACTTGACTTGCGGTACTTCTAATAACTATGTCATATAAAAAAATATAACTTCTTTTTTCACTCGAAGGCTTGGAAATTTGTTTTACGATATTTCCCGTGTCGTCTATGTAAACTTTAGCATATTCTGATGAACAGAAGGAATTATACACATGTATTCGGGTACTAGACCAAATATAAACAGAAAATGGATCCAAACCAATTTGTTGAATTGCACCGTTCATATTCAGTTCCGATTTCATTTTCCAAACCGCCATTATGAGATCATTGTCAAGTCGACGCAATTTAACTAATTCGTGTTTACTGCTAAACTAAAATCAATGTCAAAAAGACGACATTTCGTAACTGAATTACAAAAAAAGTTTTTGGGTGGGCCTACATGGGCATTCGATGATCAAAATAACTGTGATTCCAGATTGGTCATTAATTTTCAAATATGGGAGTGCTGAAAAAACAAAAAAAAATAGTCAGAATTTCATTTTTTCAATAACTTTTTTTTGCGTGTGGGCAAAAAACGTTATTGGGTGGGCAAACATGGACAATTGATGGGCAAACGAACTGTTATTTTAGATTGTTCATTTTCAAATTTGGGGGTTCTGGAAAAAAAATCAAAATTTTATTTTTCAATAACTTTTTTTTGAGGGTGGGCAAAAAAATGACTGAGTGGGCCTACATGGACAAACGAGCTGAAGTTGAAGATGGGGTCATTTTCTAAAATATGGTGGCGCGGAAAAAAAGAATTGTCAAAATTTTATTTTTTCAATAACTTTTTTTTGGGGGTTGGGCAAAAAAAGTTATTTTCTGCTATTTGGGCAACAGACTGCGAAAGACTTTCTTAAGTCTGCGCTTGCCTAACATCAGTTTTTGCTTTTTCTTCGTAGTATTTTTTCATTATTTTGAATTTTGCGGTATGGTCCTGTGTTTAATCTTTCAAAGACTGTTCTGAGATTTGCAAATTTTTTCTATTGTTTTTTATAGACTCGTTCAGTCTTATTGTTTTAGTGAAAAGAATCACTCTAGGAGTTGTGGTATTGGTATTGCCTGAAGTAATTGTGGTGACCCTAGGAACATCTAGCAGAGGATTAGAATGTTCGGACGCACCTGGTTCTATTGCCAGTACAGGTAAAACCTTGAAAGGTATCTTTGGTTTGCTGAGAATGGTGAAGGAGGCACTAGCACTAGCCTGCTTTGATTGAACAAGAGCTGGAGCTATAGATGTTTAATTTTCTTTGGTATCGTCCATAGTTTCGGACTCAAGATCAGCATCAAAAATTTGTCCTGTTTCAGCAGAATAAATGTCATCCCAAAAAAATATATATATATTAAAAAGGCTTCTCCCAGTTTAAAATTTTAATACTAAAAAAACATGTTTTGTTGTACTCAAAAGAATCTTGATAAAGATACTCCACAGGACCGAATACTGAAAAATATTCAGGACCAAATACGTACAGTACTTACTTCACGCGCTGGCAAAAAATTATTTTCATAAAAAATTTAAGATAACGGAGGTATACAGGTATTTAAGGATATTAAAATTAATAGTTTGAAAATGAAAAAAGGAGTCTGATTGATTTTTCTGATAAAATAATGCAACTGTAGATTACCTATAATTAATCCGTCTTTCAAATCGAAAGCAGATATGGGAACTTCATAATTAGAACTATCATCTAAAAAATAATAATGATGAATTATGGAACGAATACTTGATGATGGCAGATCTCACCGTCTGCTCTCAGGATATAGCAATCCCGTTCCGCTTTAATTAGTCTCAAATTGATAAAAAACGCCATTCTCAAAAATTTATCAAGCTGTGACAAAATCTAACGAAACTACTCAGCTCCGCACAAACCATAACCATCCATACACAAACAAAACGCAGCAGCACAACTGATTATTTATTTATGACTTTCGCGACAGCGCCAAAAGTGACAGACCCCTTTATCCAATCAAAATTCGTATAACCATTTCTAGACTCAGTAGAAAGGACCTCCAAAAGTTACTTTACCGCGGCTGATCTTGAACGCGCAAAGCCACCCGTATTTCGCACGCTGTAGCCGAACTCGAACGCAATAAGCCAATTTTGGCGTGGCTGTAGCCATTCCTGAACGCAGCCTGGGACATCGGGTCTCACCTGGGTATTTTTGAGGCGCGCGTTCACTCACACGCGAGGGGCGGCTGGTACTTCCTCGCTCACAACCCTTTTGCTGGCGAAAAAAACCGAATTTCCGCTAAAATTTTTGTATTTTGTTCCCGAGATTAGGAACCAGTGGTACCGCGTTCGAAAACCCGAGCAAGTGGATATCGGAGTAAGTGATCGGATTCTACCCCCGCCGTTTTCTCGGTCTGGGCACGAGGCTAACCTCAGAGAGGGTCATAGTTGTTTCCGAGGCATTTGGCCATCAGATGGCGCACTACAGATGACACGTATTGGTGTCCCAGTGGGGCGAATTCATCATTCTAGCGTCTCCGGGTACCCCAAGTGTCGCGCATGTACGGGTTAGGTGGAGTCCCACCCGCTGGGAATGGCCCTTGAAGAGCGTCACCACTTGACAATGCCCGGGTTAATACACAAACAGTACTAAAATAAACAAAATCACGCCACAGCTTGTTAGAAAAAATTAATGAAAAACATATAGCCACAGGACACTCAACTAGGACTGACACTAATGTCCTGTCAAGCATTGCCTATTGAAGCTTTTGTGAATCGCGATACCACCGATGAGAGTCTTGCACACCATATCGCGAATGTCGCGATTGCTAGACGGTTTTTAATTCCGTTATTGCAAGCGGGCCAGATGCCCCTGGCATCTATAATGATCGCCTCGACTGTAATGTTTTTGTCGGGGTACTTTGTACGTATACCATCTAGCACCGCTGCCTTCGAATAGTATGCCACCTTATGCTGATGTGCGACGCTTAGTGGTCGATCTCCTTGCCAGAAGATTCCCACGTCGCACACAATAACATCGTCTCCTTTTGACATAATTAGGTCTGTCTTTCTAAGCTGTCCGTCCCTTAAGCGGATCGAGGGCTCGATCTCTACTCTCCATCCCTTTGCCGTCCCGATGTCGGCGGCTTTCTTGACGATACAATCGTGCCGTTGTATGCGTCGCATGTGGGTTGCAGGGTATTTTTGGAGTACGTGGAAAAGGGTTTCACTCCTCAGGCATCCTGCTCTGCAACTTCTTGCTGCCACGGGGTTCGACGGAATCCCCCGTGTCGGGAGGAGGTTGCCTCTCAGCTGTACTGCTCTTATGTACTCTGCACCTGACCAGTAAGGTGGTGGTCTTTTAACCCAATTGCTACTTTCAATCGATCCGCTCGCCTGATGTAGACCGTTGCCGGAGTAGCCGTCCTGCAATCGTTGAGACCACATCCTAGTTATGTGGCTTCCAGACCTACAGTCATGTCCTGTCCACCGATCCAACTTATGTAATAGCTTTTGCACGTACCCGAAATTCCTGGTCTCTGTGATCAATGGATCGTTGACGGCTAGAAATTTAATATATCGGTTTCGCATAATCATCGGTACGTGCGCTCTTGTGGATAGGACTCCTCCTTCTCTCAATGGTGCGTGGATGTATGCATCCGGTGAGGAGTGAGGTAGGTGTAAGATCTTTCTGACTGTAGCCCTTATTATAATGTCTGCTCTCCTTAGTGCCTTAAGACTGATGGTCGGGTTTTGGAGCTGATCTATCACCCTAGGAATTGCATAAGTCTTAATCAGCTCCATTTTCTGGTATGGCACTAAGGGTGCTGCTCGTACCCTGTTCATTCTGAGCTGAAAATCCTCTAGATTCGTGTTGTAGGACCCCATCTGGTCATATTTTCGACCTAGGTATTTGAAAAAGTCATTGGGTCCTACTTAGCTTATCGGTTCTGCGGTGATATAGAACAGGGGCCGGGTGATATTATACATGTGTTTGTTACCCCTGTTCACCTTCGCTGATAAAACGGCACACTTTCTGCTATTTAGCGCCATCCCTTTTTTTTCAAAAAAATTCTGTGCCATTTTAAGTAGACTGTTCAATTGACTTTGGGATTCGGCGAAAAGTATTATATCGTCCGCATAAGCCTGGGCAGCGATCTTGGTCTGACCTGTCTTTATTCCCAAGGTAGAGGAACTTATTTGGTCTAGGAGCTCATCGATCACGAAATTGAACAGATAGGGTGATAGAGGTCTCCCTGCTTCACCCCACGCCTCATCTCGATTTTTCCGGTTGTCTCAAGATTATTTTGGATCTTCGTGTAGGCCCCATCATAAGTACTTTGTGCATCAGCCTGCTGACGCCGACTCTCCGCATTGCCCTGTCAACCGAGTTTTGGGACACGGTGTCAAAAGCTTTGCGGAGCAGGTGATACGGCTGTAGCGTGGATCTTCGCTCCTTGATGAGGCCTTGAAGCGCGAGGTTATTCAAGGCTACGCCATCTATCCTCCTAAACCCCCTCTGCTGTGGGTTGATTGGCACTTGTGCAAGTCTTCTACCGAACACACGGTGTAGAAGGCGGACTATAGCCGACAACAGAGTGATCGGCCGCCAGTTGCCCACCTCCCGCATGTCCCCCTCTCTCGATATGAGGACAGTTCGGTTAGACTTGAAGTTTTCGGGAAACAAGCCGGAATAGAAAATCCCGTTGAATATGATGGCTAGCCGTGCAGACCGTGCAGTCCCGACACGACGCAGGTCTTGCAATCTGACGCCGTCCGTTCCTGCAGCATTCGACTTGTCTCGTAGCGCCCTGCTGATTTCCCCAGTCGTTATTGGGCTATCCTATTCGGGGGGCCGGCGGTCATTTCTGACTGTTTTAGCCCAGGGTCAGCCCTCGTGGGGTCTAGATGCCTGGGTGGCCGTTTTGGGCCACGACCTCGTCGGGCCGCTTCGGGCTTCCGAAATGTCTGGTCGATACATCGATCCAAGGTGTCACGTATTCTGTTGACGTGCCCTAACTTGTTTCCAGTTAGCGCTAAATGAAAAAGGCGAACAAGGAAATAATCTTCAAGCCTGTTCGCTTTTGACACTTCGTCACTATACCTACCGAATGGATCCTCGAGGATCTCTACCGGTCCCTCCTCTCTCGCTCTATCGGTTTCGTCTTCGGCATCTCTAGTTGTGCCAGGTGTCCAACTCGCACGGCCGGGAGGCCGTACGAGCAGCTCCTCAACGTATTCGTTGTTACCTTCTAGTTGTAAATTAGCATTTTCGGCAAGTGGCGGAGTTTCGACTTTTGTCCTTCTGGTAAGAGCTGTTCGACTAAG